GCCTGTCCTGTGCCATCGGCCCCCGGAGGCCTGTTGCCGTGGCGGCAGTGCCAGGGCTGGGCTCCCTCTCTTGCAGATCAAGCGCTCGTCCATCCGGAAGGGCATGGTGATGGTCTCCCCGCGCCTGAACCCCCAAGCCTCCTGGGAGTTTGAGGCCGAGATTCTCGTCCTCCACCACCCCACCACCATTAGCCCGCGCTACCAGGCCATGGGTAGGTGTTTGGGTGCTGAGCACCCCAGAAAGGTGCCCAAGCCCCGTGGTTGCAGCTGCAGCCGAGGCCCCGCGAGGCACGCGCTCTCACCCGGGGCACAGCCCTGGGAGTCCTCACGGTGCCTCCTCCACGGGTGTGCCGAGTGCGGCTGTGCGCCCAGGAGCTGGGAACGAAGGTGGCTAGGGCAGGTGGCACAGTCAGCGTGCAGGGGCCCGGGCTGTCTGCAGAGCCTGGGCAGGGGGAGAGAGTGCCAGCGAGGGAGCCCCTCAGAGAGAGCCCCGTCCCCGCCGCGTGAGCCCCTCCCAAGACCATGGGACCGTGAGCCTGTCCTCACCCGTCCTCACCCGCTGGCTCCCTGGCAGTACACTGCGGGAGCATCAGGCAGACGGCCACCATTCTGAGCATGGACAAGGACTGTCTGCGCACTGGGGACAAGGCCACTGTGCACTTCCGCTTCATCAAGACCCCCGAGTACCTGCACATCGACCAGAGGCTGGTGTTCCGGGAAGGCCGCACCAAGGCTGTCGGCACCATCACCAAGGTAGGGCCAGCGGCCGTGGGCACCTGAGGAACCCTGAGGGATGGCCTCGCCCCCGGGGGCAGGGGCGCAGCGCTGACGCGTGCCTCCTGCTGTCCCTGGGCCTCCTGTCCTGGGCTGTGGTGGAGACGGGAAGAGAGACGGTGGGGGTGGGGCGTGGCGTCCTCCACGGTGACCGGTAGGAGCAGCGTCCTCTCCCAGCTGCTGGGCCTGTGCCAGGCTTCCCCCGCCCGCCAGCACAGGGCATCTGGCCGGGGTGGGCCTGTGCCGGGCTTCCCCCGCCCGCCAGCACAGGGCATCTGGCCGGGGTGGGCCTGTGCCAGGCTTCCCCCGCCCGCCAGCACAGGGCATCTGGCCGGGGTGGCAGGAAGTGACGGGGAGTGGGTGTGCATTCCCCTGAGGCTTGAGATGTCGGTGTGTGCTGGAGACCTGCCCACGGCCCTCAAGGGGCCTTTCCTCCGGTGACCCTGGGCTGTAGGGGGCGGGGGTCACGTCCTGGGAGGCCTGTAGATGTGCTCCGTGGGGAGGGTCATGTCCTGGGAGGCCTGTGGCACACACTCCCTGGGGGGGTCACGTCCTGGGAGGCCTGTAGATACACTCTGTGTGGGGGGGTCATGTCCTGGGAGGCCTGTGGCACACGCTCTGTGGGGGGGGTCACGTCCTGGGAGGCCTGTGGCACATACTCTGTAGGGGGGTCACGTCCTGGGAGGCCTGTGGCACACACTCCGTGGGGGGGGGTCACGTCCTGGGAGGCCTGTGGCACACACTCCGTGGGGGGGGGGTCACGTCCTGGGAGGCCTGTGGTAGGCTGCTGTGCCTTGGGGCCACCTCCCTTTCTTTGAGATTGAAGTCAGGCCATGAGGGAAGATGTCCTGAAGGTTTCTGAGCACTGATGAGACAGCCGCTCGGTGTCTTTGGGAAGCCACAAGTTCAGACTTGCCCCAGACCGGGCCTGGCCTGGGAGCTAGGCTGAGCTTCCCTGCAGGAACAGCAAGTGTGGTGTCGGCCCCGGAGCGGGGGGGTCCTGCGCGCAGGGTGGGGGCGAGGACGCTTCTCCACCCCCACTGCCTCCGGCCCGGCCTTGGCCACAGCCTTGCCCTGGCCGGGCCAGGCGGGAATGAGAGGGTGGGGTTGCGGCCTGGGTGCCGAGCTCGCCTGCTGCCTGCCGCCCCCGCCTCACCCTCCCTCCCTTGGCTCCCGCAGCTGCTGCAGACCACCAACAACTCCCCCATGAACTCCAAGCCCCCGCAGATAAAGATGCAGTCAACAAAGAGGGGCCCCCTGACCAAGCGAGAAGAGGGGGGCCCCTCCGGCGGCCCAGCTGCAGGGGCCCCTCTGCCTGGAGACGAAGCCGCTCCCCCGGGGGCCAGCCAGTCCAGCGGTCTCCTGCCTCAGGTGCGTGTGGGCCCCTGGTGGCCTCGGGCCAGTGGCGGGGGTGTGGCTGTAGCTGGGAGGAGGCGCTGGCACCAGGGCTCCGGCCCGCACGTCCGGCGGAGCTGTTCTCCCGGAGGGCAGGGGCTTCCGACTGAGATGTGGCCCACACAAAGCTCATGCAGTTGGTGTAATGAAGTAGAGAAGGCGCAGGTCTCCCTCTCGTGGGCGGAGAGAATGTGGCCTGTGCTACGTCCAGCAGGGGGAGTCCCTGCCCCTGGTGTGCACGCCTCTGCGGGGAGGTGGCCTGGGCCCCACGCTGGGGACTCCCTTCCTCCTCCTCACAAGGAGGCGTCCCTGTGGCTCCTCTCGTGCCCCTGTCACCAGTGGCCAGTGCGGCTCCCACCCTGCTGTACTCCTCTGAAAGACCCTGCACCGCTGCCACGCGTGTCCCTGCTGCCCTGCAAGGCGGCCTGATGCTGCAGACGGGCAGTGCTGAGCACGGGGGCTCCCGCCTGCCGTGTGCTTCTCACGGCCCGTTTCTCTTTCAGCCTAAACCCAGCAGCGGGGGCCGGCGACGAGGGGGCCAGCGCCACAAAGTGAAGTCCCAGGGGGCCTGCGTGACTCCTGCCAGCGGCTGCTGAATCTGCACCCGGCCTGCCCACCACCACGGGAGCCCCCTCTGGCCACCGCTCACCAGCTGGGCGCAGCTCGGCCCGCCCCGCCCCCCCAGCACCCCCATTTTCCAGGGGGCTGTAATTTATACGCTGAGGCAGGGGCCCGTCTCCTGCCCTCCTCCCTGCCTCCTTCCTCACTCACTTTTTTTTGTACATCTGGGCCCTTAGTTTTTATTCTTTTTATTATATATCTCTGTCTCTGTTTAGCATGTGTGTGTGTGTGCGCGCGTGTGCGTGCGGTGCGGTGTGCAGCTGGCCAGGGCCCTGTGTCTTTCCCCTTCCTCCCCCGTGGCTGGCCGCCAGCCTCTGGGGGCCGGCCCTGCCTGTCCGTCCGTCCGTCCGTCCGTCCGTCCCTGTGTCTGTCTGGGTGAGAATCCTCAGGGCCTTTCGAGCGTGTCAAGAGCCCACAGAGCTTCCCTGCCTCGCTGTTGCCTCCTCTCGGCACCCGGACGCCCCTCCATGGAGCCGGACTCTGGGCTCAGGGGCTTCTGGGAGTCGGTGTCTGCTGCTGCCAGAGCAGGGACCCAGCAGGCAGAGCGTGGCTTCCTTTCTCTCTCCCTCGAGCCGGTAATGCCAAAAGCGTCTCAGTTGTGACCTGGAGACGTGCAGACAGGAGTGGCCATTGGGTTGTCAGCCACTTCCGGTCCCTGACTCTGACCTGGGACATTGACCCAAAGACGGCTGTGGGATTTCCCTTGGAGACAATCCTGTTTGCCTGGCTGGCCCTGGCTGCTCAAGCCTCGTCCAGGAGCCCAGTCCTGCTAGGCTGTGGCTTTGGCTGGGTTCTGGGCGCTGGTGACTGGGACTTGCGCCTGCTCGGGGTCATCTTTTCTGGCACCTCCTGTTGGTGGGGGCGGGGTGTTCTGATAGGCAGACTGGAACCCCTCCATCCCCACCATGTGGCCCCACAGCCGCTGCAGGCACAGGGACAGCCCGAACCTGGGCTTCTGAAGCCCCAGCTGGGGTGTGGAGAGGACAGCGCGGCAGCCTCGCGCGGAGAGGGGGGTGGCGCAGGCCAGCAGAGGCGCTGCGTGGAAGCCCCGGCTGAGCGAGGGCCAGCGGATGGGGGCCGTGCTCCTCTGCCGGGCAGACCCCCAGCTGGCTGGGCCTCCCTCAGCCTCGCCCGTGTGCTGTCCCAGCCCTCTGGCTTCCTGCTTCCCGACTGCCTGTCCCCTTTCTCTACTTCCAAGTGTTTTAGTTACCACTGACCGTGGCCATGGACTGAGCAGACCAGCATTCACAATAAAAGTCTGTTCCGAGTTGACAGTGTCGTGTTCCCTGCCCGGCTCCCCAGGTGGAGCAGGGCACGGCTGTGAGGAGCCCCTGGCGGCTGCAGGCCCCTCCACAAGCTGCAGGACGCGGGACAAGCCACCAGGCCCTGCAGCAGGGTGGGTGTGCGGATTCTGAGAGCCTGAGGCGGGGGCAACGTGGCGTCTGTGTGTACTCTGGCCTTGGCTGCTCGGGAGGGTGGGTCCCACTCTGCTCATGGGACCTGCAGAGCTCCCCAGGGCTCCATCCTCCCCGTTTGGACCAAAACACCAGCCATTTGTAGTTGATGCAGAACAAAGCTGTGACCAGGGCCCTGCGGCGGCAGGGAGGGGTGGGGCGCCTGGAGCCCCAGGCTCGCCGTCAGGACCCTGCCCTGGCAGAGCGAGGAGAGGGCCTGGGAGATCGGAACACGTGGAGGGAACGTGCCTGCTGGGGGCTGAGCAGACTGGCCTGGGGTCGGAGGTCCCGCCTGGGGCTGTCCGCTCTGCTGAAGGTGGTCCTGGCTGCAAGCGGGGGGCGGGCACAGGACCTGCTTGCTCCTGGGGCCCTGAGCCCAAAGGCTGCACCTGCCCCTCTCCTGAGCAGGTTCCTGCCTTGCATTTTCTCATAGTCAGGGCCACAGGTTCAGGGGCCAGGTAGGGAACGGCCCCGAACCAAGTCAGGAGCTGCGGTGGGCCACAGCAGCCGGCAGGTCGCGGTTCTGCTGGGGACTCCGGTTCCTGCGGGTGAGGGTGCCGGTGGGCCAGGAGGGGCCCAGCTGATGGGTGAGGGGCCACCCTGCGTCCTGCCACCCCCTGAGCCCGGCAGCCCTGGAGCAGGCCCGGCCTCCGGCTGGGTTTCTGAACTAGGAGTGAGTCTGGGGACATGGATTCACATGGGAAGTCATTCCCTCAGCTGTCCCAGAGCAGCCTAGAGTGACAGCAGAGACGCACCTTCTGTCCGCCCTGGGCATCACGCGTTTATTTGTTTTCTTTTGCATAGGCATAAATTAGAATCTGCAGATAAAAAAATGAACGAACAGTGCAGCATTTGTGACAGGAGAGCGCGAAACAAGACCTGGTTGTCGGGCGGGGGCTGTGCCGGTGCCAGCCCTGGAGGATGACGGGAGGCCAGGGCCACCCCGCACGTCCCCGGCTGTGCCCACAGAACGGGGCTAGGATCAAGCCCTTAGCTTTTCAGTAAAAAACAGACTTGGAAAAATATACAGGCAGCAGAGCCTGCTGGTCTGAAAGCCCTCTCCCCTACCCAGGGTGACCTGCGCGGCCGCCTCCCAGGCCCTGTGCCCCTGCCGGCCGTGGAGAAGCAGCGCTGCTCGCGGCTCTGGCAGCCTGACAGCTCCGCTGGCATCCTCACTGCACAACAGCTCCGGAGGCCCCTGCTCCCACCCTGGCTGCTCGTGGCCCCAGAGCAGGCCTGGGGTCGCAGGCAGGGATGGGACGTAGTATTGGCAGAAGAACATCTGTGTGGTCAGCAGAGGGGACTCCGGCTGGCCGGGGCCACTCCCACACACAGGCAGCAAACCTGGGAGGTTCCCAGGACACGGCCCCTCCGAGAGACCGTTCACGACCGCCCCCACTTGGCACAACTCCAGGCTTCGCGAGAAGCCCCTCGGGGCCCGTGGGCCAATGGCACAAGTCCTGTGGGAGGGGCCGGCAGCCCCGTGTGAGTGTGCAAGTGCGTGGGCGAGTGGCCAGGCAGCACTACTCAGCCCGCAGCTTTGGCACCCACTTTACCTGCACCCCTGGGTGCCAGCCCCTCCGCCCTGGGCGAGGGCAGCTGGGCCCGACCTCCCAACTCCCAGTCCCCCCACGATATGCTACATATATACACCCCTGCGCGCAGCGTGTGGAGGAGGTGTGGAGAGCCGCTGGCCCCTGCAGACCGCCTCTCCTCCCAGAAGTCAGCGCTGGTCAGATGTGTGCGAGGGTGGGGCTGCTGCTCGCCCCCTCCCAGGGCAGGGGTGCGTGCTGAGAGGGCTGTTTGCAGGCACAAGGAAGGCGTTAGTGGGCAGGCTCCCCGTGCACCCTGAAGCGGTAGATGCAGGTGTACTCGGGGTGGCCCCAGTTGGTCAGGATGCGCAGCTCCACCACCTGGTACGAGGCCATCGCTGGGGCCTGGGCAGAGAAAACAGGTTCAGAGCTCCCAGCCTCCTGAGGCCTCGG